TTCATTTGGGGGTCTCAACAGTGAAGCCTGATACTGATGGTAATTTTGAGTGAGGAGGAGAGCTGGTTGCTGATGGAAAGTTTAGGAAATCAAGCCCTGGGAGTAGATTAAAAGGGCAGAGTTTCTACCTTGGGAAGAGAATGCAGAATGCAGGCCTCAGTTGTGACCGTAAAATGAGCACTTGATGTTAAGAGATCTGGGTTCAAGTTTCTTATTAGATCCCCCAGCCTATATTCCCATTCCTCTGGGAGCCATTCTCCACACAGCAACCAGAATGATTACTTCAAAATATAAATTAGGTTATGTCTCCTGCTTAAACCCTCTGGTGACTTCATGTTGCACTTACACTGCACATACATCATTAGTGTGCTGGTAAATGTTTAACAACAGGCTTTATTGGAAGAGAGGGAGCATCTGGGAGGAGGGAGAAGAGCCTTGATATATAGCATCTGTCAAATTTCCATGGAGTAAGTATTCCCACAAAGGCAATTGCAAGGCACCAACTTGATGTTTACAGCTCACAAAATTTTTGAAAACTCAACAGTTGACTTTTATGAGCTGAAATAAGCCAGGCCCAGCATAACTCTGCTTCAAATCTAGTTTCTTACTGTGGCCCTCATGGTCCAGCATGATCTGCTTAGTCAGCTCAGTCTGCCATAACAAAATACTATAGACTGAGTGACTTAAACAATCAAAATTAATTTTGTTACAGTTCTGGAGTCTGGAAGCCCCAGATCAAGGTCTGGCCAGTTTGGTTCTAGGTAAGGACTGTCTTCTTGGTTTGCAGAAGGCTGCCTTCTCACTGTGTCCTCATGTGGTGGAAACACATGTGGTGGAAGCCCCTAGAAATTAACTCCAGTGTTTCTTCTTATAAGAACAGTAATGCTATTAAGTCACAATCTTTTTTAAAAATATATATTTTATTGATTTGTTTTGTTTTTTTATAGAGAGGAAGGGAGAGGTATAGAGAGTTAGAAACATCAATAAGAGAGAAACATCGATGAGAGAGAAACATCGATTAGCTGCCTCCTGCACACCCCCTACTAGGGATGTGCCTGCAACCAAGGTATATGCCCTTGACTGGAATAGAACCTAGGACCCTTCAGTCCACAGGTGGATGCTCAATCTACTAAGTCAAACTGGTCAGGGCTAGAGTCACAATTTTATAATCTCATTTAACTTTAATTACTTGTGCAAAGATCTTATCTCTAATTATAGTAATTTGGGAGTTAGGACTTCAATGTATGGACTTGGGGGGCATACAATCTAGTTCATAGCATTGGCCTACCTCATCAATGTTGTTTCATGTTTTCCTCTGACCACATCACTGCAGCCCCTGTGCTGACCCTTACATGCACAATTCTATCTAATACTCAAGGTCCATCTAATCATACATCCTACCTGCTTTCACACATGGGTAAAACTAGGCCCTGGGATGTTAAGCATCTTGTCCCGGGACACACAGTTGCTAATGGAGGCAGGATTTAATTCTATGTTGACTAAGTTCAACCTTCATTGTGTACCTCCTGTAGAGGCAGCAGTATCATGGGAGGGTCTCTTTCTGAGCAAAGAAGCCATATAAGTAATGATGATAGATGCTTAATAGATTTTTTTTGTAGGAAACTTTTTTTTTTTTTTTTACACATTCTTTGGGATGCATGAAGGGACACATTTAATAGTTTGACTCCTTGACAGTAAAAAGTTTGATGTGAGCACCGGAAGAGTGGAAAAAGCACATTTAATTGATCCCTATAGCAGAAAGGATGACCAGGTTCCTGGAAAGTTTTGCAGTGGTTGTTTTGTAGTGGTAGCTTCTGTGTGTATCACAACTACTCTGTTGGTATTCCCAGTCTTGGGGGAAGTGGCTGCCTGGTTTGACACTTAGGGTGTGGCTGTTTGTACAATAGAACTGAATGTAAGGAAGAATGGAGTTAATTTCTAGGGGCTTCCCCTCAGGGGCCCAGGGAAATTCCCACTATGCAGAGAACTGAAGACCTGCCCTAACAGGGCTAAAGACTCCACAGGGCAGGTGCAGAGTTTGGTGGAAAGGGTATATACCTTGGTTGCAGGTACATATAGTAGGAAAAACACACACACACCTAATTTCATTGTTTCATCAGAGCTACTTGAACTTTAACATGCAAACAAAGCACTTGGGAATCTTATTGTAGTACAGGTTTGGACTCAGTGGGTGTGGGTGAGGCCCAAGAGTCTCTATCCTAATGGGGCTCCAGCTGCTGCTGCTAGTCTCTGAACCACAATGCTGCAAACTCTGCTCACCCTGGACCACCTATTGCAGTATCAGTGTGACCTGGGAGAAATGGAGAATATCACACAGACCTATTGAATCAGGTTCCCAAGTATCACAAAAGCCCAGATGACTCAGATGTACATCCAAGTTTTGTAAACACTGCTCTGGAAAATTAGAACTGCCAATCATGTCCTGGGGTTGGGGAGTGTATTTAGCTGAATGATAGTTTCCCAAAGATATGCCCACATCTAAATCCCTGGAACCTATGAATAAGACTTTATTTGCAAAAAGGATTTTTGCAGATGTAATTAATGGAATCCTAGATTACCTGAATGGGCCCCAATCAAATGATAAATGTTATTATGAAAGAAAGGCAGAGACAAATTTGAGACACACAGGAGAAGGCATCATGATCACAGAGGCAGAGGTTGGAGTGATGTGGCTACAAGCCAAGGAGACCTAGAAGAAGCTGGATAGGAAAGAGTCTCCTCCAGAGGTACCAAGAGAGAGCAGCCCTGCTGGTTCCTTGATTTCAGACTCTGGTCTTTAGAACCGTGGAATAATATATTTCTCATACTTGAAGTCTCCCAGCTTATTATGGCAGTTTGAGGAAAGTGATTCAGGGAGAAAGTGCCACACCTCATCTAGGTAAGAGCCTGTGATGGTAAAAAAGGGGGTGAGCACTTCAGCTTCACTAGCTCTGATTAAAAGAGCACATGAAACCTCTGAACCAGTGTCCTCTGCTCAGAGCAATTCAGGGGTTTCTGATAAGTGAGAGTTCATTCCCCTTTTTTGGTTGTTTTTTGAATAGTAAAAGCAGCAAGCTGCATTTTGGGAAAGTGATGAGCATGCCAGAGAGAAAGTGTTGGTGGCCAGGGAAAGTGTTAATTTCAGCAGGGAATGGAGGTACTATTGAGCTCTTAGTGATCCAGTTGTTTTGAATATGAAACCAAGACTTCTCAGAAAAAAAAAAAAAAAAAAGGATTATTTGTTTCAGCAAACCCATTGACTTGCTCACAAGTTCAAACAGGGCATAAAGTACTCATCATGCCCCAACAGCACTAAGTTAGGGCTATATGCAGACACATTAGTGTTTGAGGGCTTACAGTCTACCAGTTGACGCACACTGAACTGTTCAGTGGCCAAATTGTATGTTTGACCTTAAAGTGAGATACAAAGGGGAAAATAATGTTATGCTTATGAATAAAATAATAGCAGAACCAAAGCATTGGAAATGACTGTAGAGCCCCACTGTTGTCATCCATATTTATGGATGAGTCTACTAAGGTCCAGATTGGTGAGAGGACAACATATTTTTTTTGTATAAGTATTATCTATACACAATTATATCAACCTCCCATTTTACTTTGACAGTATATGATAGAAATAGGCCTTAGCTACAATATATATATATATATATATATATATATATATATATATATATATATATTACAATAGGTGGCCCAGCTGGTGTGGCTCAGTGGTTGAGCATCAACCTATGAGCCAGGAGGTCACAGTTTGATTCCCGGTCAGGGCCCATGACTGGGTTGTGGACTCAATCCCCAGTGTGGGGCATGCAGGAGACAGCCAATCAGTTATTCTCTATCATCATTGATGTTTCTATCTCTCTATCCCTCTCCCTTCTCTCTCTCTAAAAATCAATAAAAACTAGGCACATAGGCATATTTATGTGTATGTTGGGCCATATAGATGATTCAAATAATTTTAAGTTCAAATATTTCCTTCTTTACTAATGCCCATTCTTGAATTCTTAGAATACCTGCCTCTTCTCCACTTGGTTTCTAGGGTCAGTTGAGCGTGTGAGCAAGTGCATATTCAGTACTGATCTTGACAGTAAATATGGGATGGATTACAAAAGAAAGAAAGGAGCTTACATTCTCATTTTATACTTAGTGTTGCCCTATTGCCAAACAGTAGATGAAAAGAATATTCAAATGTTGCGGTGGCGGTTGACTCAATGGCAAACATTTACATTTTGTAAATGAGTTTAATTTTTCAGCTTTTAAATGACATTCAGTTGAAACGGTCATGTTATAACACAAATGGAACTTAAAGATTAACTAATCTATTTGATTCTCTCTAGTAAGCTACTTCCATGGTGTACATTTTATCCATGGCTACATATAGCGATTTAATAAACTAGACAATTGTTCAATCTCTACAGCAACTATTGAATCTGAGGTAGGATAAATAATGGTTGCAGGGGTTCTACACTGATCACATTCTCTACTAATCTGTTGCCCTTGGCTTTGGGGTCATAGAAAGAGAGGGGGGAAATATTGAAGGGGAAAGATAATGCAATGGGAGTAGCACTCCATAGAAGTTTGTACCCACTGGGCTATAGAATTAGAAATAGATTTAGAGAACTTCTCTTCTCCCAAATCATTGGAGCTGCTGGTAGAGTTACTGAATGCCATTATTTAAAGTTACCTCTTGGTTAGCCATACTAATGGAGCTAAGAAACAATACACACATGAAAAAAACATTTGAATTTGAAATGCATTGAGTGACTTTCTGTTCCTGTAGCAGATATATTTCACTTGAGTAAGTTACCTTGTATTACCCAAATCTTCATCTATTATAGAAGAGGTAAGTGGCTGGAGAATGAATTGAGAGACTGAGAAAGGATAGTCTCCTATTTAACTTTTGCTACAGACAAGTCACATGTGGATAAATAAGTTAATTCAATATAATTCATAAGAAAAGTAAAATCTGAATTTATATTTTTCCAAAGACTATGAGTGCTACAGTCCCAATGAAATCAAATCAAACACTTATTCACACTAGTAGGTGTGTTTGGCTCTAGGCACCCAGACATTGGCCTGGTCTTTCTAATCAATTTGAGTGCTTCTGCCCCAGACATTCAGCTGCTCTTGGGGCAGGGCGGTAGAGATCTCATGGGCAGCCAGATGTAAGTTTTGCTGATGGTCTTTTTCCCCCCCAACACGTGTTATGGAATTGGGCCTTGAAGACTGCAGTTTCTTTGCTGACCATTTCCCCTGCAAACTCTTGACCTCTGTGTTTTCTCTTGTTCTGTTTCTCTGGTTTGGACAAGATCAGGCGACCAATGTTTCTTAGTTTGCTGACAATCCATAGGAGGTATGCCTGTATAATGCAATAGACCACCAAATGTTCACTATGAGGATGATGCTATCTGGCAAAGATGAATGGTTTTCTTGTGAACTACTGATGAGAAGTGTTCCAGAGTAGGTTCTGACCAATCTTCTTCAGCATTTGAGGCACTTGTCTGAATTTCTTGGGATAAAAATCATATCCAGGAAGTTGCGAGTCTCATCTGGGTGCACTGCCAAGTCATTTTTTACCTGCATCTTATCAACAAATACTTGACCTGGTGGTGTCTGCACGTGGAATCGTCTCAGAAGTGTAACCAGGATGACTTTCATCATCACCATGGCGATGTATTTCCCTGCACAGCTACGGGGCCCAAAACCAAATGGCTGAAAATACCTGTAAGGAACCTATGAAAATGATCAGACAATTAGCCAAGAGTTTTAAAGGCTAGAATCATATAGTCGCTGTTTGATTTACCCTGAAAATATTGGTTAATCAGAATGCTCTGGTTTGGGGTCTGAGCCATACTGATCCTTCACTGAGATGAATGAGTGTAACCCATGTAAGGTCCTTTGTCCATCTAGTATGATTCACCCCCTGTGCTGCACACACAACCTTGGTCAGTACCCAGTTTTGATTTTCATGTAAATGTGCTGGGTAAAACAATGCAAATCATTTTATTATACTAGTTACTCAACTAGCTCTCTGAGATGGCCACAACTTTACTACTGTTTTGCAAATCACCAAAGCAAAGAATACTTTTGTGAAATGTCATATAACTTGATGACATTAAGGGAAAGATGCAGATTTCTGACCCAGTAGTGCCAAGTATCTAAATATTTTTAGTTATGCAAAAAAAATTAATGGATATCACATCTGTCTTGTTCACATTTGGACTTAGGTACATAGTACCTGTCATATAGTAGATTCCCAATAAGTCTTTTTCTTAATCCTTACCCAAGGATATGTTTTTTATTCATTTTAGAGAGAGAGGAAGGAAAAAGGAGAAAGAAGCAGCAATGTGAGAAACATTGATCGGCTGCCTCTGCACATGCCCCAACTGGGGATGGAACCTGTACCCTGGGTATGTGCCTTGACTGGGAATTGAAGCTGTGACCCTTTGGTGCATGGAATGACATGCTAACTAACTGAGCCACACCAGCCAGTGCCCAATAAGTTTTGTTGATCAAGTGTCAACATGGGTCACTCATACAGAAATAGGAAAAAAATTAGAGAACTGGATTATCATTTTTTTAAAACCATATGCACATGGAAAAAGAAGGCACTAAGAGAACTATCTGGGTAATATGGGTAAAAAAATCATTGCTTGAAATTTGACAGGAAGAAAGCAGATCTCCAGTGTACTTCAATGACAGAAAAAGAAAAAGCTGAAAATCTTCTAGTTACCGAGTCCTGTTTAAAATGGGAAGTAGTGCTTGTGGGGCCATTTGGTGACCCAAAGGCAGACTGCAAAGACCAAATCTTTTGGTCTCATTTGATTTCCACCTGAAGCAGAAGTGGACTTTTTGTTTTGTTTTTTTTGTTTAGGTACTGCTGTAGCTTAATTTACATGATAACAAACTGGTAACTTTAAATAGAAAAGTAGTTGGTTGGGTTAAACAAAATTTGCCTAGTTTTAGTCAAATTCAGGTCTTGACTTTTTCACATTTTGACCTATTATGTGGCCACCATGTAGATACTTCCCAGAGCTAGAGACCAAGCATTTTTGTCTTGCAGACAAATGTGGTAGCCATGATTCAAGCTAGGGAAAATGTGTGTTTCTGGGGAGGATACAGAGGGTAACAAGTAAACAGAATGAAATGTACATGGTGCAAACACAGAACCAGAGAGAATTTAACAGCTGACATTTTAAAAAGTGGTGTATTTGGTTTTAAGGAAGGGCACTTACATTTTTTGCAAAGTTTTCAAGAGTAAATTCATTAGGCTTGGGGAAAAACTCAAGTCTATGCATTCTTCCAATATTCAGGATAATGTTAGTCCCCTTTTTTACAGGGTAACCATCAATGATGTCATCCTGTAAGGCTTTGCGCATGACCAAGTCCACAACAGGCTGATATCGCATGCTCTCATATATGAAGTTTTCCACCACTTTCAATTTCTGAATATCATCAATTCTTATGTCTCTATCACCTATGGGAGCAGATAAAAAGGACAAAGAGGTAGTGTTAGTTTCAACATGTGATGGTCATTAAAACTTCTATAGCTTCCACTGAATAGTTTGCTATTGGTTGGAAAATATTTTATATTTATAATACTAGTGCAAACCAGCCAGAGTGTTTTATAAAAATTCATATTTGAAGCCAATTATCTTAAAAGCTGTGGGATTTTCTAAAAATCCAGATAACACTGGGCTCACCTTCCTACATGGCAACAATGGGCTAAAGTAGAGTGGCAATCCCTCTGCAGCCTCATGTAGACCTACCCGATTTGCTCCAAAATTTGTCTGCCTGGCGTCTGTAGGCTTTGTGTTTTGCTCCCTACTCAAAATTCTTGAGGAAATTTACTTCTCTCTGGTCAAAGCAAGACAGTGACTTCAGTCAGTGTCAATGACATTTTCTCCTCTGGTTAACTGTGCAGTCACCTGCCAGAACACATCACTGATGGCCTCTCTTCCTCATCTTATTAAGAACAACCTGTTGTGATATGGGGCAAGAAGCCCCCTCCCACCACACAAAAAAAATGGGTACATCAGCCCTGGGTGTGCTGGGGATTGAAGGACGCTCCCACTGTCTCAGACTGGCCTGACATTAGTCAGAGAAGCTCCAATTACTCCAAGAATTGATAAAGCTTCAGAGTATCCTCAAATGGGCTACCACTTTTTTTTTTTTTTTTCCGAATCAAAAATAGACCAGGGTCCTGAGGCAGCCCTGTCTCCTGTACAACTATGCCACGCAGGAAAGGTCTCATTTGGTCAGAGAACTCTAACAGCCAGGCCCCTCACATGCTGCTCCTTGTGTACTCTAATGGGTCTATGGAGTGTGTTCATGTAGGATGAAGAGGTAAAAGGGAACATGACGGAGAAGGTAAGCAAAGGCGTACCCTAGGAAGGAATTACTGTGAATGTATATCTAGAGGCAACACGGACACATGTGCTTTACAGAGGTCTGTTGAAGTGTCAGAGGAACTCTTTTTCACTTCTCAAGGAAATTGTATAAAAGGCCATGTTCTCAAGAGTAATTCTCCCATCCCATTCCACTTGTTCCCTGAACACCTCCTATGATCCTCTCTCTTAACTCCACTGAGCTTGCTTGTTGAAGTCGTCTCCCACCAGTCTGTGAGTCCCTGGGGTACAGGGATGACACTGGCTTGTTCACCGCTGTGCTCTGCATCTGACATGGTGCCTGTAACCTGATGGGGACATTCTGGGATTTGGAGCCTGGGTGCTATTCTACCTTTAGCCATGCATTTGAAGACCCCTTCCCTCACATATTTAAATTTTGTCAACTATTTCAAGCAGCATTGAGATTAAAAAAAAAATAGTATCTTTCCACAACCAAATAATTTGTTTCACAGGGATTGGGCAAAGTCAAGAGAGAAAAGTCTACATCATTATTGATATCTTGCTACGTATGTCAGAGTATGTTCCTAAAATGATTACCCATGTGAAGGACATTCCAAATAAGGAATTCTGTTTTCTCTCAGTGTCTGATAGCGTTTCTGTGGAAGGATGATGATGTCAGGAGCAGTGGGCAGAATGATGCTGAGGCTGGGGCAGAAAAGGGAAGAGGTAATGTTGGAAGTTGCTTGAGCAGGGGCCTCAGGGGCCCTTACATAAGAAGAGGAATGGGTGAAGGGAGGAGAGGCCAGCACCACTGGACTGGGGGAGTGGAAAGCCCATCACTCCCCTGTCTCTCCTCTTCTGTCACCAACTGGAAATTTGTTTGCAAATGGACTGCTTGAAATCCAGAAACACTGCTATAAATGATAGCCATTCCCCAATTGAACCCACAAAAGCCTTTGTCACTGATAAGGTAGGCAAAAAATTGTGCTTGATAAAATTTTAAAAATACAAACAATTATGACCATAGAGATATGTTTATGTGCACATAAGAAAAAGAATGCACAGTGGTTTTCCCAGGTAATGGGAATGAGGCTAGAGAGGAGAGTGGAAGGAAGTAGGGGATGTCACTTTCTACTTTATACATCTCTCTATCATTTGATTTTTTTTTCAATGAGCATGTATTATTTTTATAATAAAATAAAACACAGAAAGAATGATATTTTAAATCTATCTGGCACAATGAAAGCGAGACAAAAATGACTTGCTTTATTGTTCTCTGGGTAGATTATTACAAAGATTTTATCTGACATCAGATTTTCAGGACATAAGCTGATATTCAGAAGAAATTGTTTTCTAAGCCTTATTATTTATTTGATGAATTCTTACCAACAACACTCTGGATTTCCTTCATTATCGCCTCTTCAATGTGAGGGTGCTTTGTAATGAGGAATAGCATGAAGAACACAGAGACAGACATGGTGTCTGGGGCTGCAATCAGCATTTCCAATATACACTGGTTCACATTCTCTCTTGTCAGGTCACCACGCTTCTGAATAATTGAAAGAAGGGAGGAAAATTGGAAAAGTGAACAAAACTTTCACAAAAGGAAACGAGGTGACATTCAAAAATCAGCAACCTCATCAAAGTGCAATCATACAAATTACATATCAGTAATTGACTATGAACATTTTTCCTGATCAGCTGAACTATTAATAAATTTTCTATGTATTTAGTGTCTTTGGACTCTTCCATTTTCTTTTTTTTTCTTTTATTCTTTTATTTTAAAAAAAATATATTTTATTGTTTTTGTACAGAGAGGAAAGGAGAGAGATAGAGAGCTAGAAACATCAATGAGAGAGAGTCATCGATCAGCTGCTTCTTGCACCCCCCCCACCCCACTGGGGATATGCCCGCAACCAAGGTACATGCCCTTGACCAGAATCGAACCCGGGTCCCTTCAGTCCCCAAGCCGACGCTCTATCAATTGAGCCAAATCGGTTTCGGCTGGACTCTTCCATTTTCATATTTTGTATTTTGCAGACACAGTAGCTTTAGTCTGAAAGGTCAGTTTCACTAGAATGTCTAATGTGTGGGCCATTTGAGATGGTCATTATAAAAGAGTTGAAGCAAATACTTAGAAGCTGAACTGTGTAACATAATTATAAGAGGAAACCTTTACACACTGAAACAAAAATAGTCCTACACATGTGTTGTGTGGAAATTATGGTTAGTTCAGGTCAGTACCTCAGCAAAAATCAACTCAGTGGCAAAATCTATACAGTCTTCCAGTTTGTCTGCTGTGGAAATCCTGTGTCTTTTTTCTTCTATCAGAATTTCTATGGCATCTTTCATATCCTTGCTGGAAAAAAAAGAGTAAAAATATAATCTCTCTGTACTCAGTTAAGACATGTAGAAAAATTGATTAATTTGCCATTTACTTAAATAAAATTACCTGCTGTAATTTAAACCATCAGTGCTTATGAATAACTGAATTTATACCTACTTCACAAATATCCTTAAATTACAGATACATTATATTTCATGTTAAGGAACCAGAGTTTTTAGGCACAGATAGCAAAATAAAGGCTGTAACCTCTACTTCAGGGTTAGAAACTGGTACCAAAAGCTAAATCCTGTCATGTTTTCTGATTTCTTATTTGGCCAGCACAGTGTATAAATGAAAAACTCCAAACCCAAACCAGTGACTGTCTCTAGTGCGGACATGCACGTTCTAGTTTGCCACGGGCACCTCCATTTGCTGATGTCCTATATCCACCCTGCCTGCTTCTATTTGCCTGGCCTGCAAGACTACTGAGTTTGAGATTTATGTTCTACACAGTAAATTCAAGTGACTGTTCATTAATTTTAATACTTATCCTCATACCTGGCAGTATCTGCCACATAACAAGTACTTATAAATAATGACTGAACGAATGGCTGCATAAATATTATAGGCATTTTGACAGTGTGGGAGAGGGAGAGCTCCGTGGACAAAGGATCAGGTTCTAGTCCAGGTTGTTTTCTTTCTACAAAACCTACTGTAAGTCTTTGAACCTTACCTCTCTTTTAAAGTAAAGGGATTAGACTAGATGAACAATGAGACCACCTTGAGATCTAAATTCTGTTTTTCTTGGCTTTGTCTTTAAGTGTATATGTTCATGGATGTATGGTCCAATCTTAGGGAACAATATTCCGTATTACAGTAAATATAATACAAACACCTTATTAATGTTTCTGGGACTGAAAAGCCTTAAACTTGCCAAAATAAAAAGTATAAAACAATTTTGCTGTAATATTGGGAATTAAAAGAAGCAAACATATAAAATTGAATAAATAAGGATGGGAGTATATAGTCCAGAATCCTTTCCATAGATATATATTTTAAGGAATTAGCATGATAGAGAAAGACAAATACTGTATGATATCACTTATATGTGGAATCTTAAAAACAACCCCTCAATCTTGAGCTCATAGATACAGAGAACAGACTGGTGGTTGCCAGAGACAGGGGGATGGGTTTAGGAAGGCAGGCCAGACAGGTGAAGGTGGTCAAAAGGTACAAACTTCTAGTTATAAAATACATAAGTCCTATGGGTGTAATGTAGAGGATGGTGACTATAAATAATAAAGAACACTGTATTGCATATAAGAAAGTTGTCAAGAGAATAGATCCTAAAAATTCTCATCACAAGGAAAATTTTTTTTAACTATATTGGTATATGGTGATGGATGTCAACTAGATTTATTGTGGTGGTCACTTTGCAATATATATACATACATATATATATATATATATATATATATATATATATATATATGTATGTATATATATTGCAAAGTGACCACCACAATAAATATATATATAATCTCAAATCCCTATGTTATACACATGAAATTAATATATCAATTATACCCCAATAAAGATATTGGCTTTATTGCAAGGACCTGGAGGGTAGGAAATTATAGGATTTCTCTAGGTCTTTACTGCTCTACGTCAAAGGAGATATAAACTAGTGCACCAACCACTGACAAATGTTATATATAGCTAAGTTATTTCTTTAGAAACCTAAGAGAAACTGTTATACAGTTTCATTAATGAGTTTCTGTGGGCCTCCTGGCCAAAACCAAAATCAAACTAATGACCAAGAACTACCACCAAACTTGACACCAGTGAAGTGATGAATGAATCCTTTATCTTTATCAAGTCACAATGGGCAGTGGCAGAAATTAAATTTCTATCTGATACTCATTTACCATATGAGAATATGTACAGCAACATCAAGTTGGTTTCCTTCCTGGAGACTAATACTATTGAACTTAAAAATGTACGAATGGGATAAAGTTGGGTCTTCAATCAAGTTTGAGAACTTTTAGAGATGGGGAATTTAAAATGAACATAGGAAAGGAGAAACTTATTTATTGTCTACTATGGCCCAAGCTCTGTGTTAATTGACCTGTGTATGGGATTTCATTAACTTATAATATCTCCACTCTGGAAGGCAGGCTCTGTTTTATTATACTTTAAATAACTTCCCAAAGTCGTTTAGTTACTAAGTGATAGGTACAGGTTACAAATCACATCTGTCTGCCTTTAAATCCCACAGGCTTTCCACTGGTGATTTAGAAGTGGCAGTGTTTAGTGGCTGGCTACTTCCACTAAAAATCACAACCATTGATTAACTAAGGCCACTGGCATTTGTCTAGGTTTTTTGCTAGACTAGTGTAAGATCAAAGCAAAGCCATTTAATGATGGTTCTAGGATCCCTAAATACACAAGATATATAATTAAAAAAATAAAACTCCCATACAATTTATTGAAGTTCATCATGAAAAAAAATCTTTTGAGACTGCTGTCAATTCCTACAAGTTGAATTAAGTTAACACAACTAGGAGAGGATTTCATGTTTCCATTTTTTCCCTAAATATGCAAAGACAATTTTGACAGATGATAATGACAGGTTTATCCAGCCCTTCTGTTCAACTCAAAGTACACTGCAATGTTTTAGTTCCAGATATGGAGCTCTCAGACCTCCCACTTGGCCCCCTTGCTGAGAAGCCACCCTGGCCCAAGGTTTCTTTTACTCTTTGGTCTAGCCACATCAGCCAAATTGATGTAGAAAGTGTTACATCAGCAGCTTCATCAACATCTCTCTTGTAGGCCCTTGTGGCCAGAAAACTTGCTGAAGAGGGAAACAATAACAAAGGCACAATAAAAAAACAATTCAATATCACAGATAAATTTTCCAAACTTGTGTTACTTACACAGACTTTTCATATTTTTTGTATAGCCAAGAAATCTTAAAGAAGATGTCTGGTTTGAGAAGGAGAGCTTGCCATGCCTCAAAATAACCCTGGATTTTAATGACGATGGCGTTTTCTGGAAAAACAAACAAAAAAGAATAAAGCAATTGAGCAAAAACGAGCCCAAGAAGAGTACTCTGAATAGAAAAGACCCCTGTAGATTCTCCTACCAGTCTGAGAGTCTAAGCTGGGCAAGGTTCCACCTTCAGGAGTGTTCTAGCCATGTTACTGACACTAGACAAGCAACACACTAATTTATTCTGCCTGGCATTTTAGTTGACCAAGTTGACCAGAGATTTGCCAGTTTTAAGCTTAGTATTAAATAGTCTCAAATCTTACATGCCCATCTTTGACATGATGTATATCTCTCCTGTTTTTCTGGACAGTGAGGAATAAAAGGATCACTGGTAATTATGGCTGCTGTGGCCTCAGTTCTGGCATATGGGAGGGCAAAAAGCCACACCACTCTCCTGCTAGGCTGCCAACAGCCACATTTAAACTTCATTTGGTGTTCATTAAGCAGAGCCATTAGGTGAATCATCTACTTGGATTATGTACCTAATTAATAGCTTTTCATTGTATTCTCACCTTATTGTGCTTTTTTTTTTTTTTTTAAAGATTTTTTCATAGCATTCCTCACATAGCTTTCATATTTATGTTCGGTTTAGAATGTAGAATATATCTTAGTGTCTTTAGTGCTTGCCTTGAGCCTTGTGCATAGTCAGCTCTTAATAAATGTGTTTTTTTTTTAAAGTAAATTGAAAATTAGGGAAGAGAAAACCCAGCTTTTTCCAAATTATACAAACATTGATTTTCAGCTGCTAAATGTGAGCCACTGTGCAAGATGCTTTGCAAAAGACTTCACTTGATCCTTACAATCTTTCTAGGGGAGCAATAGTGTCATCCTTTGGCATATGAACAAACTGCAGTTCAAAGAGAATGAGAAGCCTGCCCAATACCACACAGCCAGTGTGGCAGCCCACACTTGGGCTAGAGCCCAGTTCTGTCAGATCCCAGGGCGATGTTCTTTCATCTTTGGGTCCCTGAGACAAACAGGTTAGCAAGGACCAGGGGAGGAGAAGGGAAATAAAATAATTCTGCAAGAGTTATACAGGTTCTTAGCATCACAGTCTGTATCCATAAGTTAACAGACATTTATAGTTCCCTTACATGATCCTTCCTAAGAATCTAGGCTAGCAGGGAACAGAGGGGCAGGGATCTATAAAATATGTTCCTGGCAAACCTGAGGAAAGATTTGTATAAAACAGGCAAGCTGGGATTGGAATCCATGTCTGAGAGGGGATCAAGCAAGCAGGTGTGACTAAAATTCCATAGAGTGAATGGGGGCTCCTGTGGCTCTTGGGAGGAGTAACTGAAGAGCAGGGAGATGAGGTAAGGAGAGCTAGAGAAGAGGGAGGGCGGGCTTAGGGCTTGTCTGTAGTCCCTAGGTGGTAAATCAGGCAGCGGGTGTTAGAGCAGGCATGGGAAAGTGTTAAATTATGCCTTGTTCTTATACCTGTAATGTTTCCCCTCAGGTCTGTATGTGGCTTGTGGCTTTACTTCACTTAGGTTTATGTTCAGATGTCTTTCTGCAGTGGCCTTTCCTGACCACTCTTTCCTTGAGAACTGACATCCATTTCCACTGACCTGTCCCTTCACGTACTATCCCTTTACTCTGCTTTGTTTTTTTCTTCAGAGCACTTATTATTGCTTAATATATTATAGGCAAAGTAATATTGCTTGCTATATTGTTATATATTACCATAAGTATATATAGATTATTACTTGTTTACTGTCCATATATCCACTGAAATGTAAACTCCCTGAAGCCAAGGATTTTGTCTTGTTCACTGCTCTATACCCAGAACCTAGAGCCTGACATGAAATAGGCAATCAATAAATATCTGTTGTATAAATGTATGAATCAATAAACACAGCAAAAATTAATTCAGGAAGAATCACATGAAGCTGGATAATAGCAGGATGGAATTAAGCTCGGTAATTAATGTTTGCTTTTAGGTGGTGGTAGAGTTGCTTGTATGTGTTTTAATGTTTGTTTTCTATAGTAGTAAGGAGAGTGGCTTCTTGAGTGAGATATCTTGCTAGGGTTGCTAAAATGCTAAATGACAAACTGTATGTAAAGCAACTTTTTACACTGCTTGGTACATGGTAGACACTAAAGTACAATAATTAATCATAGCTATTGTACTTATTTCCTGCAGCAGCAAACAACGCCATCATCATCATACAGAGTCAAAATTTTCATAATTAGTAGCTTTGAGGGAGGGGTGTGTATGTATATTTAGGTGTGTGTGTGTGTGTGTGTGTGTGTGTGTGTGTGTGTGTATCATGCCCCAAAAGAATGGTTGAAAATGATTAAATATATCAGTTTGTTTGGTGGGAGGATACATTAACGACCAAGTGAATTGATCACATTTGTGAGTTTTGACTTGGGTAGAATTCTGTTTCCTAGAGCAATGACGAGAGATACAAAAGAAATAGATGGCCCTGCTTTACAGAAATTTGTATCTGAACAAGGCAGACACAATGGGAAAAATACCTTAGGAAACCTTAGAGATGTTGAAAGAAGAACATGTAGAAAACAGAATGGTTTACTTGAGGCTGCCAAGCCTCTTATCCCCTTGTTAAGTAATGTCAAGGCATGAGAATGAAGATTTCCGTACCGTCCAAGGGGATCCCCAGGAAGAGCATGTTAGAGGTGTCCAGCATGATGCACCGCATGAGGGTCAGCACATCGACAGTGCCTGACTCGCTTCTGACCTCCTCCAGCCTGTCCAGGTGCCTTATTATCGATTCAGCACAAATTGTCACCATGCGCACAAGGCCTGGGCCAGACAGAGCTGCAGAGAGTGCATCAGAGAGTGAGCCATGGTGAACTCCAGGACACACACAAGCAGGCGATTTTGGCTTTTTATGTTTAGAGCTTAATCATCCATACTTTTAAATACAATAACTACACATATAAGTACAACATTTTCACATTTTTTAATCTCCCAATTTTCTATAGGAATGGATGAATGAATCTTATTTTAAACAAACTATTCAAAGATAAACTTTTCATGCTATGGTAAATCATTTGTGAGATTGGAAGTGAAACATTTAGTACTGTGGTCATAAATAAAAAAATTAGTGTTTTCTTCATATATACTGTATATATTTTTCTCTAAAGAAGGTTTAGATTTGTCCAGGGTGATATTATTTTATATTTCAACAGGTGGCATGATGTTGCTACAGAACCAGTCAAACTCTACCTTAACTATTTCATCTAATGTGGCTCCTTTTAAATTTAATTTATATGTTTAAAATGCTAGTCTTATTAATATTAAGTTATTAAGAGTGCTTTTCTCTTAATTTTGATTTCTCTTCAAACTACTTTCAGATTTATTTTACTTAAACAATGTCATAATAGCTAAGTGATTCTTTGCTTAGCCGTCTTCCCCCCTGGTCTGGGAATTCTTTAAGGGCAGTAACAACCTGCCATTAGCACTACATTTTAAGTCCATAGTACTTAGTGGTCCTCAAAACATATTTGTTGAATAGACGAGTGCATAAGTGGATAAGTGAATGAACGAAAACAGGTAGAGTGCACTGGCTCTGATCTCACCCTCTGCTCTGCTCCTGACCATCTGAGTAGCTAATGGCTTCTGATGGTAGATGATCTATCTTGAGATTTTAACTCTTAAAGCCCCCCTATCTCTCTTTATTCTAAGAGCAATCTTCCTTTTTATGTTTTTTATTATTCATACTTGCTATTAAAGTTAGGGTCCTTGAGCCACACTGGCCAGGGCCTCTCAGTGTGCTTTAGATGGCCTATTGGTCTGTTCTCTGTACACTCTGCACACGCCTCAACCACACACATCATTGAGGAGAGTGTTTGGCAAGGTACTCTGCTCCCTCTCCCATTATAAATTCCTTGAGGGCCAGAATCATATCTTGTTTCTTATTATGTTCTGGGCACCTTACTCAATGATGAGAAGACAGTAGTTTGTTAAACAAATGCATGAGTTTAGAGTTTCTATCAATTCCTGCATGTCAGAATAGAGAATAATGGTAATTGCTCCTAAATACCAGTTCACATATTCCTAATACTATAACGACCAAATGATAAAATAAAACTTTTTTTCTATAGAATCTTACAGCATGATTTAAATTTTTTTTTACAATAACTCTAGAATTCAAGTTCTATAGTGTCTATTATACTTGTTAAGATTAAGGAAATTAAGTTCAGAGAGGCTGAGTGACTGGTCCAAGATCATATAACTAGTAAAGTGGCAGAGCTTAGAATAGAATCCACAATCTATAATCCTGTACTCTATACTCTTTTCATTAACCTATTCTGTAATTTTGTCAGGCATAAGAGGACTTATCTGCCCCAATATGAATAGTCATCCAGACCCTAATCCCTGGAATTTGTTAATATATGTTATCTTACATGGAAAAAGGGACTTGGCACATATCATTAAAATTAAGGACTCTGAGATGGGGAGAATATTGTGTAGTATCTGGGTGGACCCTCCTAATCATGTAAGTCCTTAAAAGCAGAAAACCTTTTTAAGATGAGGTCAGAAAGAGATGTGATGATAGACGGATGGTCATAGAGATGTGATATAAAAAGGATTCAATCCACAGAGGAAGGGGCCACATGCCAAGGAATGTGGGTGGCTTCTGAGGCTGGAAAATGCAAAGAAACAGATCTCCAAGGGAGCTTCCAGAAAGAAACACATCTCAGTTGATGCCTTGGTTTGAGCTCAATGAGACTCATGTCAGATTTGACATATAGAATTGTAAAATAATATGTTGTGTTATCAGATACCTGTTTTCATTAATTCACTCATCCACTAAGTTTGTGGCAATCTGTTATTGCAGCAAGAGGAAACTAATACAACAGAGTCCACAACAAAGTTGTGTGGAGTCTTTGTGATGGTCAGCTTAGCAGAGGGGAATCAGCACCCAGCGGGAACAGGCATAGCTTTTCCCTGTCTCAGCAGCCATGCAGGAGATATCTGGGTTTCCTGCCAGGCTGCCTGGAGGAAAGAATATTGAAGGTGCATGGTCATACCTAAAATCCATCTGGCCAGTTGCCATCACTGACAACATTTCTAAGGCATGACTGTGTTCCTTGATGTTAATGTCAAAGTCTGTTGGGGGTTATGTATATCCCCCAACAGCTTTATTTCCAGCAGGACTCACTAGATAAGGAGACTTTGGTTCTGCTCTCTGCTCACCCATGACTTGCTATGTTGTACAAAAATCACAACCTCTATAGGACTGTGAATTCAATTATAAAACTCAGAGGCTGATAAAGTGACATATAGAGTCCTTCCCAGTTCTAAACTTCTCTAATTTTATTCACAAGTTGCTTTCTGTTAAAATATCTGGATATAAGCCAGTGATTTAGCAAACACATTGTTGGCTATGTTTAAATCAAACATATGGCAGACACACTCAATTTTTAATTAAATGACCCTAAATTTAGAGCTCTGTCTCTTCTTCATGCCCTTAAGATCGTTTTGTGCGTTAACCAGAGGGATGGAAATTGTGGTAGTTAAAATGTAGGCTCTGGGGTTGTCTCCTATGAATGTTTGGATCATGGACAAGTTGTTTAACCTCCTATTCCTCAGTTTTCTCGTTTGTAAAGGGTAGGTGATTAGAGTATTTTACCACCAAGGGTTACTATGGGATTAAAATATCAAGTATTTAGAACAGTGCCTACTATGTAGTAAATGTATAATGCACATTAGCTCATATCTTTATTTCAAAATTGAAGCAGCAAAATTTAAGAATGAGTTCCATAAAAAGGAATATTCACAGACAAGAGCAGAAGGTAGCCAGGCACCTGATTACCTTTTGTAAAGAAAGGCCGAACAACTTTCCAGAGGTCTGGATTATTGTTAAATATGATGCCATTCTCATGCATGCCAATGCATTGCAGCCCAAGTTTGCTGCCGAATCGGGAGATGTAGTGACTGTGCTTCATTACGTGGAACATGCTTGAGGACCTGCAGAGAAAACAAGCCTTGGAGTTAATTTTTAAAGGGTCAGGAGAAACTCTGGTAATTTTTGACTATAGGTGGCTCTCTTAGCAAATGCATGTTGAGCTACAAGCCATGCATGATTTCTAGTATTCATATTGAATAAGCACTTCTCTTAGCACGAGAACATCCCTCTTCAGTTGAAAAATGTCTTCCTTTTTTTTTACATTGCAAATATTATTTATTTATTTATTTATTTATTTATTTATTTATTTATTTATTTATTTTATTCTCACCTGAGGATATTTTTCCCCCCATTGATTTTTAGAGAGTGGAAGGGAGGGAGGAAGGGAAGGAGAAAGAGAGAAACATCAATCTGAGGGACACATTGATAGTTGCCTCTGGCACACGTCCTGACCCAAGTGTATGCTCTAATCACTGAGTAAACCCAGCAAAGGCTATTTTAAAAATCATTTATTTTATTTTATTTTTCCATCACCATTTATTCCCTCCAAGCCCTCTTCCATCTTCCCCCATAATCACCACACTGTTGTCCATGTCTTTGACTTCTCTCTAAAATCAAGTTTTTGAAAAACTGCTTACATATTAACATCTGGTACTGGGAAGATAAGTGAATAATTTAAATAATTTAACAATCAGAAGGATAAAGGACAACAAGAAAATTATTCTCTTTAGGATAAAGGTTAGGGTGGGTTTATTAGATGGGGTGCAAGCATCACAGGAGAGGGAGAAGGAAGAGCCAGGATGAATGCTGTGTGTGTGAGGACTTGGGCAGGAGATGACTCTTGGGAGGAAAAGTCTGCTGGGAATTTATTTTTTATTTTTTATTTTATTTTATTATTATTTTTTTAAAATATATTTTTATTGATTTTTTACAGAGAGGAAAGGAGAGAGATAGAGAGCTAGAAACGTCGATGAGAGAGAAAGATCGACCAGCTGCCTCTTGCACACCCCCTACTGGGGATGTGCCTGCAACCAAGGTACATGCCTTTGACCGGAATCGAACCCAGGACCTTTCAGTCCGCAGACCGACGCTCTACCACTGAGCCAAACCGGCTTCGGCTCCTGGGAATTTATGAAGTTGAGAATTGTGGGGTAGAGGGAATAAATTATTTTTTCTTCTACCAAGAGAACAATTAAGAAGTGTTGTGAGTGACTGCGTTTTCTGTGAAAAGGGGCCAAGATTGGAAAATAGGAGAGCATAGGGCCCAAGAGAAGCAAACCACCTGGATGAGGGCTAAGTGATGACTGTGGCCATGAACAGCGTGGGTCAGGAGACTGGAAGTCAAAGTTGTCATGAGTTAATAAGCTACCTGTCTGGTGAGTAAGATGAAGGGTATGTGAAAACAGATGGGATGTTTATCACAGAACTGCAAAGATAGTAAGCAGGGCACTTGATGTTTGCTTGTCCATTGTTTTCATAAATGCCAATATTGGGTTGTAGGCATAGACAAACACCACATGGAGAAATCAGATGTGGTTATCTAAAGTATCTGGAAAGAAGTCAGTGCAGTGAGGATACTATTATAGGTAGACAAAATAAGGCCCAGAGAGGTGCAGGCAGTCAGACCCCCAAATCCTCACAGGGCTGCATGGCTATGGCTGAGTGAGTGAGGCAAGAGAGGCCACAGCTCAGCCATCTCCCTCCAAGGCCAGCCTTGTTATACATAAATCCAGAACATGCCATCTCTGAGGTAGGGGCCACAGCCACCCCTGTGCTGCTGGGTAGACAGTTGGGGCACAGAGTTCAAAGAAGACCGCAGAGTCAGTGCTCGGGCATAAACCAGGTCTCATTTATCACCCCCTGGCTCCATTGCTAACAAAGCATGCTCCAACTCTTATTCAGACTCCTCCAAGAGGCATGACAGAAGGCACTTCAAATTACCAGGCCTATGTCACAATATTTATATGTGGACAACATGGCCAAATACAAATTTCCAACAAAATGTAAGCATAGGCAGCTTTACTTCTCTCCAAATATTTTTCTGCAACTTCAAAAATTTCCACACAAGTATATTCAGATTGATAGCAATTTCTTGCAGGTATGAGAAAAAGGGTCCAGGGTTTGAGATTTTAAAAAAGGGCAGAGCCCTGGCCAGTGTGGCTCAATTGGTTGGAGCATCTTCCCATGCGCAGTAGGGTCTCGGGTTTGATTCCCGGTCAGGGGACATGCCTAGGTTGTGAGTCCTATCTCTGGTTGGGGTATGAGCAAGAGGCAACCAATGTTCCTCTCTTCCTCTCCTTTCCCCCATCTCTAAAATCAATGAAGGGTGTCCTTGGGTGGGGATTAAAAACACAAAATAAACAGGTAAAAATAAAAAAGGGGGCAGAGTGGTTAGTAGAGGAAGAGCAGAGGTTTTCTGCAGTGCAACTATAGGAGATTTGAGGATGGCTGAGGCAGGGCATACTGCCATCAGTCTGTGTTACAGTTGTGTGAACAGCGTGGAAGGCAAGCCATGTATGAGGGATGTCCATGTGTGCAGTGGTGGGGATCTGCCACAGGCAGAGCTGCAGTGAGATAGTTCTTGACTTGGGGCTTGAGAACGAATCCACACAGGTCTGCTAGGTAAGTTGAAATAGATCCCCAGAGCTTTTTCCACTTGAGGATTTAGAAATTATCTTATGTTACTGAGACCAGAAAGGAATACAGATATTAACATTGGAAAGGGACTGCACATTAGAGTAGAGAAATAGGAAGAAAATATGCACATTATTGTGAGAAAGCAACATATATTTATAAACATCTCTTTGGTATTTATTACAAAAGAGGAAAACCTGGATTATTTTTGGTGTGCAAGGGATAGAAGATGTAAAGTAATTGTGCAATACCCAATTGTGCAAATTCAAGAGGCATAAAACATCATTGGTGTTATCTTCATTTTAGACAATGTTGTTATTTTTTGGGTGATCTTAATACCCTGTTTCCCCGAAAATAAGACAGTGTCTTATATTAATTTTTGCTCCCAAAGATGCGCTAGGTCTTATTTTCAGGGGATGTCTTATTTTTCCATGAAGAAGAATACGGTACACATTTATTGTTAAATGAAAATAAAGGGAATTTATTACCTGTATACAGTATAGTAGTATGGTAGTTGTCAACACAAACCAGACAAACTGTGAATCCTACAGTATCAAGAATTTACTCATTTATTCAATGACAATCATGTCATCATCTTCTGGAACATCATCATAACAATCCAATTTCTGAATTTCCTGGTGAATTTCTTGACTCCATTTCTTTCAGAATCAGTGGATCAAATCTCTCATGTTTAGCCTAGGTGGGCCTTATTTTCAGGGGGATGCCTTATATTTCACTCAGAAGGAAACCTGTAAGTAGGTCTTATTTTCGGAGGATGTCTTATTTTCGGGGAAACGGTATTTATTCAAGTTTTCATGTGTTTACTGCAAAGCAACTTTGGTTCTCCCTCCTCATTTCTCCACTGAAATTTTGTTTCTCAACTGCAAAATCTCTTACTATGAGGGTTTCCTGAACACATAACTCTCAAACATGGAGTATGGCTGCTATAGTATAATACATGCAACTTGTTCTTGTGAGCCTACTTCTTACACTGGCTGGAGTGACCCGTCTTAACACTTGCTTCTCCCTGTCAAAGTTGACACTTGGCTCCTAAAAGAATGACTATGCCTTAATGAGGTTGTTTTGTTAATGCCTGTGAAAAACACATTCTCATAGAAGACACTGGGCCAAAACAACTCTGTGTGGCTGAGCGGATTAGGCTGTGAGCTAATTAGCCAAACCCTCCCACTTGTGATGGATTCCATAGTCCCATTTAAACTTTAAAAGAAAGCCCCGGAAATAATGGCAGTACCATTAAGTGAAAAAATCATATGTTCAAATCAAAACACTGTATTAAGGAAAATGTTCTCTTGACTTGATTCCAGATAATCATCAAATGATCCCAAGTTTTAGACAAGTTTCCCTCTTCCTAGAAACAAGAACAAAAACAAAAAATCCAGATGCCTCTGTTTATATTTTAGGAAGTTAATTTGGCTGACAAACAGCTAAAATCTTGTCCTGTTTGGAAAAATCATGCTACAGAGAAGACTGAAATTCTTGACAGATTTCAGAACTATAGCTTTTCTTACCTTCCTTGACTTCATTCTATAATTAAAACAGAAAGGAAGTACTTTGTCTATTCTGTATTTACAAATTTATATCTAAAATTTTTTAGTGTTTAGAAGACAAGCCAAACACTATTTTTCTTGCTCTCACCCCTGGAGCTTTTGCATACTACATTAACTGCACTGGCCTGTCCACTTATGTTTTTATTACATAAAATAATTTATGTGGTTCTCTATTGATGGATGTTTGTCCACTTATTTTGAGGAATTACTAATCAATTTAAAAAAGAAAATAAGAGCCCTAGCTGGTTTTGCTCAGTGGATAGAGCATCATCCTGCAGACTCAAGGGTCCCAAGTTTGATTCCAGTCAAGGGCACATGTCCAAGTTGCGGGCTCCGTGAGGGGCGTGCAGGAGGCAGCCTGTCAGTGATTCTCTCTCATCATTGATGTTTCTCTTTCTCTATCCTTCTCTCTTCCTCTGAAATCAATAAAAATATATTTAAAAATAAATAAATAAATAAAACTCATGATTATCATAATGTTTGTTGTTTTTTTTTTTTTTAAAGAAATTAAGAAGCCCCAAACAAACCCAATGAAATGTTAGTTAATAAAGATCTTTTAAAATCAATGTGTCCACTAGGGGGCACCAACATCTCAGTTATCTTGAGTCCCAGGCTCAGCCTTGGCAAAGGACGAAGCTATCAAGACAGAAGTGATACACACAGCAGGCCAAGTGTGACTGGCAGGCAGACAACTAGGTTTTTTTTTTTTTTTTTTTTTTTTTTTTTTTTTTTTTTTTTTTTTTTTATCAAAAGTAGGCTGGCTTTATATAACCAGAATAAATTGGGAAAATGATTAAGAGAAGGTTGGTGAGGAACAAAGAACCAGGCCCAGAGTTCTCTGGCACTCAGTAGCACATCAG